TAAGCATTGAATTTATCAGTGTGTAGTTATCTGAAAAGGTGTATTGCTGAAATGTATGGAGTGCATAAATTTGTCATCTGGATTCTCTTTACTGTGATATGGTCATATGAATAAAACGATATCCTCACATGATGTTGTAATGTGGATTACTTAGTAGGTTTGGCAACATGATAGTAGAAGTTGTGAACTAGCTGATATGAGTATGTCCTACTTGTATACGGGTATATGGGGATGTTAGATCTTGAGAACTCACTTGGTGGATACCTTATTTCTGTAATTGTATTTGAAAATATTTGAATTTTTTATTTTCTCGCCAAAAGCACCCATTTTCGCCCTCATGTCACATTTCGCAGCTGGGGAGGAACTTAAATGTTATTGGTTCGATGTCTCTTTTAATATACTAGTCGGTAGGGTTAGGACGTATAGGAATAGTTAGCATGTTGATCATTGTGTTACTGAGTGTTCAGTACGTTCACAGATTAGTTGAACTCTCTTCAAGTATAGCAGATTGAGAGCGCTGGAAGTAATCAAACATTTCATCATATAATCACTGTTAATATTCTGTACTAAACAAATGTTGGTACATTTTAAGGAATTTCTTAAGTGTACGGAGTATCGGTCAAATGATCAATCACCATTGTTCTACTTTTACCAATTACAAAAATCATACTATTTGGGTCCAATAGATGTAGCAGTATTAAAAGTTGAAACCTACTTCTGTTCAGCTTAATGAGAAGGTTTACATAGGTTAAATGAATCGCTCACAATGTATGTTTATGTGGAAGTTATGCCAACTAACTATTCAATAAGAGAATTTGATCCATAGATACAGATACGGAGCAGTATATCTGATTTGAAATAAAAGCAGTTGACTTCTTCAGTTTGTTTCAATATGAAGAAATTACAACACAAACTGTTTTTGTTATAACGCTCGAACTTTCTTCGTATACACGAATGGGACGTAATTTTCTTTAGGCGAATATCTACACTAGATTCCTTCTCAGTGTCTATTCTACACGCCATCTATTGTCCAGCTGATGCTGACTTTCCATAGACTGATCATTCTGGGAAGTGATTTGGCATTCATTTGGAGAAAACGACGAAGATACGAAACTCCAAATATGACTCCCATTCTCATGTAAAGGTGTACGGTTTATGGTAACGACAGCAATGAATAAGAAACCTTAGAACTATCTACGTATTTCAATTACATTGTAATTTACACGTTCTGTTGAGAATGATTCTCGAGGAAGAAGGAGAAGAAGAGGTGCTGGTAAGAGAGACTGGAAAGAAGGCTAGCTGATGAATTAAGATGTTGACGAGTGAGCTGCCTCGTGTAACAGTGCGTGCAACTGATAGATCTCATCCAACTAGATTTTCGCACTTCACAATTCCACTTGTCTTTTCTATCCCATTCACAGTAGGAAATGGAGTAAATAATCAATTATTCAATACCCACTTAATTAGTAGTTCTCAACATGCCGAAATGAGTGGGTAACATTCTGAATTACATCACTAAGAACAACAATCCCATCACACTTGATCGAGTAGCCATGTTTGACGTGCAAACTTCCACGTACATAGACAAGCGTCGTCGATGAACAAGTAGGATTTGATTCAGATGTGAAGGCATTGATTAACAATCCATTCCGACAGCCGAAGTACAAAACAGTTGTCTGCAAGCCAGCAATAATCACAAACTTCAATAAAAACATCAAGACAATTTTATAGTACGGAGATAAAAATTGGAGAACTACTTCAACCATCATCCAGGAATTACACGTATTTATTACCCATTCTTTACGTAAGATGCTCAATGTCATTTGTCCGCATACCGTCAGCAGAAGCCTATTGTGGGAAAGTACAAACCAACTTCCAACTGAGGAAGAAATTAGGAAAAGATTCTCCAAGTGGATAGGGCATGCAATATGGTCTGTGGAAAAGTCATTGCTGAATACGAAATCTTTGAATTGTAAATCATCAGCGTAGATGATCTATGTCGAATGATTGGAGGCCTACTCGAGTAAGACGGGAATGGTGTGAAGAACCAACTAACGTCGAAGTCACACCTCGTGGTCAGCACCTTGCGTGGACTAAACCATTGACGTATCAAGGTACTATAGATGCTTTGCAGACTGTACAACACAAAGGACGTTATTACAGAAATATATTAACTAAAGTAGATACAAGCGAAAGTAAGACCACTGCCGCATGGGCCAGTCCATGGCATACGATTAACTGATGTGCGTTGATTATACTTGACCTTGACAGGGATCGATGACCAATTCGATATTCAGTGACCGAACTGCCGGATGATTCGGCTAGGGCTTAGCGAAATTTCGCTGGCCCTACAGAACTATCTACGTATTTCATTTACATTGCATTGTAATTTACAACTTTAAAAATTATCGAGAGAAAAATGAACTATTGAATGTCAGTGAGTAGTATGTTATACACAAATAGTAACGAACAAGTAGAGTCGATGTTAGACAATACAAATACAATTATTAACAATGGACAATTATGGTTATTATTGAATTAATCATTATCGTGTTATTTCTATGATGATCACTTTCCCGATAATGTACTGTTATCCAAGTGGACATTGTATTCCAGGATTGTAGAAGATCACGTTAAACCTGAGTGTAATAGCTCACTATCACATGTGTGTTGAATCGTTCTTGTCATTATTATAATTTCATCTCAAAATTTCCTATTCCATTTCCTTACTTAAATAGGAGATTATATTGGAGTAGTTATCGACTGCATTCACGCTGACAGATTGTAAGAAAACTTTGTGGTGAAAGTGAATATTGTGATTCAGTGAGAAATCAATGGACAGCTTGCGTTCAAATAGACGATATGAAATCTGCTAATGAACTAGTACTTCTCTCTCAATAAATACAGGTTATGACATAAATTTTAACAGCAAGCATTTCACCAGCAGATTTCGAAATACACAAGGTAAAAAGCAACATTCTCAGATACAATGTGGAGAACACCAAACCAATCATACTTGTCAGAGAGGTGTTTGATGTGGAAACTTCCACGTACATGGACACTCATCATCGATAAACAAGGAGGATGTGATGCAGATGTGAAGGGAAGGCTTGGCAAAGCAAAAGCCACATTCGTTTTGTTGAAGAACACATGAAACTCAAAACAATTGTCAGTCAACATCAAAGTCACTATCTTCAGTACGAACGTCAAGGTAGTATTACTGTACGAAGCAGAAACTTGGAAAACTAACACAACCATCATCAAAGAAGTACAAGTATTTATAAATAGTTGTCTACGCAAAGTACCCAACGTCTGTTTACCGGATACTATCAGCAACACACTACTCTGGGATAGGACAAACCAGATTTTAATGGAGTAAGAAATCAAGAAGAATCGCTGGAATTGAGTAGGACACACATTGATGAAAGTACCCAACTACTTCACAAAATAAGTCCTCACTTGGAATCCTAAATGAAAATGAAAAATAGGAGGGCCAAACAAGACACTGCGTAGAGAATTGGATTTGGCTTACCAGTTGTAGCGTCGTAGTGTGGTGTCGAGTTGCGGTTGACTATGATCACCATTACACCGAGACTACGTACCAGTTATTAGGTTGGATCCCATCGTAGTATAGAAACAAGAAGGCAGTTGACGATTGTAATAAGATATATTTGTTGGCGATCTCGTGGTATCGAAAGAATAGCAAAATCGTGCCAAAGAGTACAAGTGGAACTACTGAGCGTAACCGAGAGCGTGGAAGATCAATATCAACAGAAGAATATATGCTTTTTGTACAGTTAAACAAACAAGTACAATAAAACAATAACTGGTAAAATTGGTTATAATAAAAATTGTTTCCATTATACCAATTGCGTTCTCTTGATAAAAGTAGGTTACGGACAGACATCACAAGATAGAACAACAACTGTATAGAATTAGAAAAAAAGGCTTAGAACAGAATCATTTGGGGAATATTGATCGGTGGCCTATGCTCCTCCATTGTGGGTAAGTAAGTAAGTAAGTAAGTAAGTAAGTAAGTAAGTAAGTAAGTAAGTAAGTAAGTAAGTAAGTAAGTAAGTAAGTAAGTAAGTAAGTAAGTAAGTAAGTAAGTAAGTAAGTAAGTAAGTAAGTAAGTAAGTAAGTAAGTAAGTAAGTAAGTAAGTAAGTAAGTAAGTAAGTAAGTAAGTAAGTAAGTAAGTAAGTAAGTAAGTAAGTAAGTAAGTAAGTAAGTAAGTAAGTAAGTAAGTAAGTAAGTAAGTAAGTAAGTAAGTAAGTAAGTAAGTAAGTAAGTAAGTAAGTAAGTAAGTAAGTAAGTAAGTAAGTAAGTAAGTAAGTAAGTAAGTAAGTAAGTAAGTAAGTAAGTAAGTAAGTAAGTAAGTAAGTAAGTAAGTAAGTAAGTAAGTAAGTAAGTAAGTAAGTAAGTAAGTAAGTAAGTAAGTAAGTAAGTAAGTAAGTAAGTAAGTAAGTAAGTAAGTAAGTAAGTAAGTAAGTAAGTAAGTAAGTAAGTAAGTAAGTAAGTAAGTAAGTAAGTAAGTAACAAAGCAAATTGATAAACGGAATGAAAAAATGAATTCTCAACACTTCGATCTAATTATATGGAATGCTAATGATGATTATCATTATCAACGTCATCAGCACCACCACCATAATAGGTCAATAATGTCTGATAATAGTTAACTACACACAAATGTAATTAATCTACTAATTAGACTAAAATCAATATTATATAATATCATAACACAAAATAAGTATATATATACCCAGGAAGATACCAGAAAGAAAAGGATAGAACTTTACTTGTTCCTTGAATTGATCGCATTTCATTTTGTCTTTTTCAATGAAACCAGTTCAAACATTTTGGTTCACTGTTACCATTATATATCGATCATTGAATTTTATCAATATTCTATTATCTATAATAATTGGTCATTATTATTTATATCCAAATGAATCAATTCAATTCATTAATATAATAAAATTAATGAAATATTTACATTTTATCATATTGGTAAGTTGATTACATCGTCATCATCATCCAAAACATCATCATAATCATCATGATCCAAACCATCATCATCATCATCCAAAACATCATCATAATCATCATGATCCAAACCATCATCATCATCCAAACCATCATCATCCAAAACATCATCATAATCATCATGATCCAAACCATCATCATCATCCAAAGCATCATCATCCAAAACATCATCATAATCATCATGATCCAAACCATCATCATCATCCAAACCATCATCATCCAAAACATCATCATCATGTACAGCATCATCATCATCATCATCATGCAAAGTATCATCACTATCCAAAGCATATTCATGATGGTAATAATTGATTCATATTATTCTATTATAGTGTTTATTACAATTATACTTGATTACATCAACTCCATTTCAATGGTATAAACAATATACAATACATAGTTGTATATATATATTTATAGCTACTTATACTTTGGTAAGTATTCTATATACATTATCTATATCATTTCATTATTGGATTCAATTAGACATCATTTCATATCTATTGGATGGTATATTTCATTGATTCAAATATCATAATCGAGAATCCGGAATTGAATAAATTACCATTATATTATTTGCATTTTATTGTAAGTTGATTGTATACTATCATTCTTAAATTTATAATCATTTCTAAATTATTCATTGTTTCAGTGGTCTAGAGTTTAAGCTTTCATGTATGAAACTGTTGAGGAGTCCTTTAATAGGACGAAACGGCTGCTCAGTGCTTCCAGGTTTTCAATGGTAGACTAACATCAAACAGTTCATGATCTCAATCAAAAAATCATTCATAATTCATTAATCATTTAGTAGTCACCATAGTTATGTGTATTAAATGTTTCATATTGTTGATCAACTTTTATCGATCAATTTATCTATGGTATGAAGTGATTGAACATTGTTGAGATGTAAAGCGATAGTCTACGTTAGTTGACAGGAAACCATGTATGATCCAGGTTTCGTGGTATTTGGCACATGTCTGACATTTGTGCCTGAAATATTGAGAAAACTACTGCTTCCTAAAGGAGTTAATCGACCAATAGTCAATACGTCTAAGTCCCTAACTGTAATTCAGATAGTTCAATGGTAATGTCTATGACCATGAAGCTGGGTGATATGGGATCGAATCTGATAGCGAGTATAACCCTCTCAGGATTACATACATAGCTAGTCGACAAGTGATCAGTAGTATACCATCTGAATAGTACTGTGTTTCTTGTTGACTACAAATGATTCAACTTGTTAGATGAAAACTATGAATAAAATCACTCGATTTACTAATGAGTACTGCTTCCAAATATATATAGTGTTTAAGTTTATTTATTTAAACTAATAAATATTGGTACAACGAGGCACCAAATAAATATGCTCCACGTAAATCATTCGATTTGTGTGAGGGCTGAGATACTGCCCAGGTGCCCAAACAGAAGCAGGTGGTTTACTTAGGGGTTAACACCCAAAACCTTTGACCCAAAGGTCTAATGTACAACGTAGTGGATCAACGTCAGGAGATGCAGTCCTATGGTATTCCGTGACCGACAATTAGTTTATATGCCATTTGCTTCCTCAGGATCATGGAGCCCATGTACGCCATTGGTCTAGAATCAGGATTTTCCAACTCCCCTAGGTGGATCCGCTGTATCCACCAACCTCGTTAAAGCACCGGAAATGCGCTTTTCGTCTTCTCAATTTTGTAAGCAACATCCAGCCACGAGAAAGCATTGAGTAGGACCTCCCTGGCAGTGTTTATGTGCACGTGACGCTTGAGAGCGTTTCGAGAAGGAGAGCTAGCTATCACCCGTACCACGGCATTTGGGGGCTCGTATTTAAGTACATACATATGAAAGAGGTTAGAGAAGATTACAGTGATTACTAACCATTGATACTCTAGTAAAGCACTTGGTTCTAATCAAATTGAGTCAATTAATTTACATAACTAACATCGATTTCAATAATTCATCGTCCCACAAACTATTCTTAGATGTTTGATTGTTACAGATAAAGTGTAAAAAGCCCAGAAACCAATGTTTCATTTTTATTGACATTTGTCAGCAAGGAATATCTGTAGTATTGAGGAAACTAGAGTTCATTGCAGTATTCGAAATGGTATAAGTTGACATCACAGATTAGGATGTGATTGTTGAACTATCCAGGACGCAACTCACCTCTTATCAGACTGAGCCTTTTAAAATAATCGGTCACTGAATGACAACTAATCAAGTATGTCTAGTCTTTTAGTTATTGCGTGATTCGATAATTTGCGTAATGTATGTCCTATCCACTTCCATCGTCTTTTCCTAATTTCCTCTTCAGCTGGAAATTGGTTTGTTCTCTCCCACAGAAGGCTATTGCTGATGGTATCAGGCCAATGGATATTGAGTGGCGTTTTATAGATCAATATAAAATCAATGTCACCATATGATAATACGTTAAGTAAAGATATTAGCTATATACAACAATAATACGATACGATAGAGACAATGGATGATATGGTCACGTGATATACAAATACCCATATTTGCACAATATTCAACCTACAACTGTGAATTAGACTATAGAGATAGAATAATTAATTCACACAAAGTGTAGATAATACACACTTTGTGAAACTTAGAATGGAAATCACCAGCAATGGTATTTCAAGATTTCTCTTTCATATAGATTATGAAGAAGATAAATCTAAAATCTTTCAATTCAATTAATCAATAAGAAAAACAAAAACCTCTGTTCAAACAAATAACTTTGACAATAAGGTTCATTTCAGTTAGTCAGTCAGCTACAACGTAGAACCAGGCATATATGTTCATTAGTTTAAGTTGCCATATGTCATTAGGACAACAAGATGAACACCAGATTCATAGAAGTAGTTAATTCAATGGTGGTAATATATAAAAGAAAGAATGCATATAAGGATATGGTACAGGAAGAAAGAAACTTCATTTAACTTTATGGCTATCAGATTCAAAGTAGTTCAATATGAAATAGTACTATGTAAGTATCATTACCATCGTTCAACTTGATAATGAGCACTGAATAGATTATTTATAATAATAAATAATAATGCATATTTGCAATATCTCAACTGCATTCTTGATATAAGTATGAGATTGTGAAGATTAGTAAGTTTTTGATTAAGACCATAAATCGCTTGATGTTAGGTCATCATTGAAAACCTAGAAGCACTGGATGGCTATGTGTTTATTTGTGACTAACTTCATGAAGGAATTATCGAAATTCTAATGAGAAGCCGTAACCAGGGGAGCTCATCTATGTCAGGTAGAAACAACTATCTACCTCAGTACAATGAAAGATGGTCGCGCAATTTCTTGCATTGGATAAGGTTAGACATTAACATAATTGGATACTCGGTGATCTAGAGGTTAGACTTTCGCGAGCGCAACCGAAACGGCCGTCTAGTGCTTCCATGTTTTCCATGGTGATCTAGCTTCAATTAACTCATGAATTGAACTATTAAATTACTATAGTATTCATTGTTGAAATTGCTTAACGTTAATGATTGATTACTATTTCCAATTACTTTTATATATTTTGACAGAATTCCATGGGCGTAATCGTGATTATTACTGATGCATTACTATGGAAACCAAAACGAATTCCCTTTTTAGTTTCATACATTCCTTGTTGTATGTTTATTAGTATATACATTGCATAGTAAGTTCATTTTTTATTATATATGATATGGTCACGTGATACACATATACCCACATTTGCACAATCTGGTTTGTTGTGAGAAAGTAACTGACTGATGACAATGGTAGACGGTGGCTCAGTTTGATGGCTTAGTTGAAGTTAGACATTAACACCGTTGAATGCCCACCGGCTCAGTAGTCTAGAGGTTAAGCATTAGCTCATGAGACTAAAAGTCCACCGTTCAAGTCGCACGTAAGAGGCCGTGGATGTTCACTGCTGAGGAGTCCTATACTGAGATGAAACAGCCGTCCAGGGCTTCCAGGTTTTGAATGGTAGTCTAACATCAACCAGTTCATGATCTCAATTAAAGAGTTTTTTTGTTTTCCGATTCTATAATTTATTTTGGATGTGCTAAATACATTCTACTTGACAAATATCATAATATCTCATCCTGTCACAAATGTAAACCATATGTAGTAGATGAACATAGTAAGAGAGAGAGAGTTAATTATTCATTCTATTAAATCCGTCTTTCAAATCGGTCAGTTAGTCAGCTACAACGTAGGACCAGGTACATATATGCATCCGTCCAAGTTGCCATACCCCAATAGCACAGCAAGATCAACACCGGATTCATAGGAGTAGTTAAGTCAGTTGTGGTAATATATAAAAGAAAAATTGCATATAAGAATATAGTACAGGAAGGAAGATTTAGTACGTAGTTTAAAGGAAAACAGAGAGTGTATACACCTAGATTCTAAGCCAAGTCACACACAGTCTCCAACTATTGGTTACGATTGTCACGCGGATCTCAACCAAGTACTCTGCATCTACCGACATGGCTCAGACTAGAAGTTAGTGACTTCAAGCACTGATGCCACGTCTTGGTTTGGCCGCCCCTAACTTTCTGCCAACCATCTCCAACACCGGTTAGCATTGCACGTCGTGGTAATCGGTGTTCACGCATACGTAACAGGTGGCCCGACCATCTCAGTCAACGAAGATTCACGACTTCATCAACCGATTTACCATCATTCCCTAATACCCTGCGTCTAACCTCACTATTACTTACCCGGTGATATCAGTAGATGAGAGCAATAGTTCTAAGACATCTGTGGTCAAATATTAGTAGCTTACTAGTATCTTTAACTCTTAATGGCCATGTTTCGTAGTCGTAAAGTAGAACAGAACGAACTGCTACGCAGTATACTCATCCATTAATTGATAGACGGATATCTCACCTTCATCATAAAAGGCATAAGTTGGCAAAAGCCAAACAAACTTTTCGAATCTATGCTAAGATTTCGTTAAACACGCTAACTCATTAGAGCTGATCAAACTTTCAAGATCAGTAAAGTTATCATTCAAATATTCTTGATTCATCTTTATTCTTCTTCTTTTTTTTCTTTTTTCTTCTTCATTTTCTCTATATTTTTTTTTAGCTTAGAGATAACAAATTCATTAAATGATTATATAGAATTACCAAATTCTGATATACTATCAATTCTATATCGTTTTCTATACTATTTATTACTATGGTTAATAATTACCATATTCAATATATTCAGTTATGGATTAATTCGTTTACTTCATTTAAAGAAAAAACACCAAATGAACTATTAACAACTTCATCATAGTTTACGATGAAAAACAAAAAACAAAAAGAAAGAAGAGAAAAGAAAAGAAAGAAAAAAGAGAAAAGAAGAAGAAGAGATCGTACAATAAGTTGTATGATGATGATTTCTCTTAAGTTAATTATAAGATTAATCAATATTTATTATTGTTTTTATTTCATTATTTGAACACATAAACATTGGTATAATGGGGTTATAGTTCCGTTGGCCAGACACTATTAGCAACAACGTACTATGAGAGAGAACGAACCAAATTCCAGCGGAGGAAGAAATCAAGAAGAATTGCTGGAAGTGGATAGGACACACATTGAGGAAAGCACCCAACTGCGTCACAAGACAAGCCCTCACATGGAGTCGTCAATGCCAAAGGAGAAGTGGAAGATCAAAGAACACAATACGTCGAGAAATGGAGATAGACATGAGAAAAATGAACAAGAATTGGATGGAACTAGAAAAGAAAGCCCAGTAGAGAGTGGGTTGGAGAATGCTGGTCGGCGGCCTATGCTCCATTAGGAGTAATAGGCGTAAGTAAGTAAGCGGTTATAGCTCATAGTTATATAAAATACTCTTGTAGGTTAGGGTAATTTTACATTGATTTTCGATGGAACCGGACATCATCCAGACTTTTAGATGACAACCTCAACAGTACAACTTAATCCTGTTTCACAGGAGAACCAGACATTGTATAGGCTTTAACGCTACAATCTGAATAGTACAGCTCAATGGTGTAACGTGACCACACAGATACCAAGCGCCCTGGTGGACTATGTACAATGGGGTAATGAATAGATATGCGTCACATAAGTCACTTGATTCATGTGTACGCCATGATGTTGCTTGGATGCCCAAATCAAAATAGGTGGTTTTCTGTGTGGGAGCAACATCTAGAGCATTCCAGCTGAAGGTCTGATTTACAAGACAGTGAAACAACGTAGGGCGATGAAGTTTCATGGTAGCCGGTTACCAACAATTTGTTCATACACCATTTGTTCCTTCAGGATACTGGAGACCATGAGCACCATCAGTTTGCAATCAGGGTTTTCCAACTGCTCTAGATAGACCACACATTGAGAAGGCAGTGAGTAGAACTTTTGTGAAAGTGACCATGTGAGAGCATTCGAGAGGGAGAGTGAAATCTTTCCACTCTCGACAGTACCAGGGCATTTGAGGGCTATTTATTACTGTGTATATGCATATTAGTTGTATTCTCTTAGAAAAGTATCTACATTGTTTGTATATTCCATTCTTGTTCAATAGATTGGTTATATATATATAACTATTAATTAACACTAAATGAAGAAAAATGAAATGTTTGCAAATTCAGTTATTTATATAGTATGGGACTTCTCAGTAGCGTTTATCTAAGATCCCGCATATGGATATCTAACCAAGAACCTTTGGTCACACATACAACGCTTAATCTCTAGACCTCTAAGTCGGTATCCATTGGTGTTAATGTCTAATTTCAATCGATCCTTAATCTTACACAACCCTTCATCCATTGTCTGAGGTGGATAACTGTCTCATACCGGATACGGATTGGACTCAACTGGTTACAGCTTGAACCTTGTCACTAGTGGGTATATGAATATTATCAGAATGTGGATTGGGGGAAATTGTAGTATTTTAAAAGGTGAATTCACGAGTCAATCTAAGCTGGACTGCCATTGAAAATCTGGAACCACTGATTGGCCTTTTCGTCCTAATATAGGACTCCACACAACATGGAATGTTTAAGAGTGAAATTTAACTACTGATACACTTTAAATTCAAAAGTCACATTTAAACCTTCTAATTGCTGTAACTTTTTTCAAATTTCGATGATGCAGAATGCATTTATCTCGTCCATTTCATCTTTGATCTCAGTCAGATATAGTGTAGGGCCAGTGAAATGTCACTGAGCCCTAGCCAAATCATCCGGCAGTTGGATCACTGAATGTCGAACAGATCATCGCTCCCTGCCAAGGTCAAGTACAACCAACGCGCATTAGTTAATCGTATGCCATGGACTGGCCCATGCGGCAGTGGTCTTACTTTCGCTTGTATCTACTTTCACTAGTATATCTCTGTAATAACGTCCTTTGTGTTGTACAGTCTTCAAAGCATCTATAGTACCTTGATATGTCAATGGGGGTAGTCCACGTAAGGTGCTGACCACGATGTGTGACTTCGACGTTAGTTGGTTCGTCACACCATTCACGTCTTACTCGAGTAGGCCTCCAATCATTTCGACATAGATCATCTACGTTGGTGATCCACAATAGCATTATAGATCTGCGAAGAGTATCTTACTCTTCAAAACATACGTTCTGTGCAATATCTTCAACAAAACATATGAAAACCTGTTTTTCTGTCCTTCCAATATACATACCTTTACGTTGACATGCAAACTGATATAAACAGTTAGAGATGACATTTAATATGGTCAAGATTATACATGTATCTACATGACTGATAATAATGATTATACATTTTATTTAACTATTTATTTCTCAATATCATACCTTTCAAGTTACTATCTTATTTGAGGTAAGGATACACTAATAGAGTGTCCATTAGATTTCTTTTCATTTATTTCTATATATATTCCTATAAACTATTACAACAGACTTATATTGAGGAGAACGCCTACTAATATTCCATCTTCATATGGATATAAGTTCAATACAATTGATCATTCTAATCCATTATTAATAACACTCTAACTGTTCACTACAACCGATAGAACTAATGAAGACAAATTAAAAGTTACGTAGGCTTAATCGAATTCAGCTAATCCGATTATAATATAGAAAACGGTGATATAGTGATCAAACAACAGTAATCCCATTGGATTCACTTGATGTTGTTTTACTTGAATCTTCTCATTGTTATTTAGGACTGCAATTGATCAGTCTATTATCGGTATATGTGTATACTGTTTGGATTGCCTCGATATAACCTTAATTCACAAGCAATCGAAACAAAGATGGTTAGTTACAGGCAGTGGAATCCAGCACGCACGCCAGAGAAGTATACATGTATCTGAGGTGGTGTTCACTCTGGGACTCGAACCAAATGAAATCCGCTCCCAACGCTATCACCTCATCCACTTGGCCACTGAGTCATGATATGTACTTGGTTGCACGATGAGGTGAAGTTTACATTCAATTACTGCTGTTTAGGACTGCAACTGATCAGTCTTTTGAAGCAAACGATACTGGGTTCGAGTCTTAAATGCATGTATGTTCATCTGACAAGTCCCAAGTAGGAAAAAACGCTCGTCGTGGATTCCACTGTTAACCACTATCCATCTTTGCTCATAAAGCTTGTGACAATATTGAGACAGGATGCACATATGACAACAGTTGCAGTCCTAAACAATAATCGGAAGATACAAGCTAAAGGAGAAGAGGAAGACCAAAGAATACATTATGCCGAGAAATGGAGATAGACATGAGGAAAATGAACAAAAATAGGATAGAACTGGAAAGGAAGACTCAGAACGGAGTGGGTCGGAGAATGCTGATTGGCGGCCTATGCTCAATTAGGAGTAACAGGCGTAAGTAAGTAAGTGACAATTAAACAACACCAAGTGAATTCATTCTATATTAAGTTTTATTTCTTACGTTTATTACTTTACAAGAACGATTTTTCACGTATTAGTATTAGTTCAAGGTAAACATGTGTAGGTTTATTACAAAATTATGAAATGCTGAAGTATTATCCATTAGAAACTGGGATTTTTCTTCTTCTTGTGGTACTATGATAACTCTGTTATAGTACGTCGCCATAATGCAGCCATATATATCCATATAGATAGAACTGGTCCTGGATAAGCTTTCACATAGACATTTAATGCAAATTGAACATTTAATGAATCTGATTGTAATAATCGTAATGAAGTTAATGATGGTTTTGAACTAAATACTGAATCTGTTACACTATTTAATGTGGTTTTTGAAAAATCCATCACGGAACTTCTTTGTTGTATTGACTGACTTCGATTCATAATATTAGATGTTGTTATAAATTCATTACCAATTAATTCATGAATTCCTTTTGATTTTACTCTGGCAATAATTTCATCAGGTTCCATATATGAGAAATTCATTGGGAATCCATAAATCTGTATGTGTTTATAACATGATAAGAAGGAATGTGTATTATTTATATTCTGTATAAACTTTTAGTAGGTTATTTAAGTAATAATATACGTTATATTTGATGAAATGATAGAAAAGGCACGTAAATCCTATTTATCGGTCACAGATTCATCTGCTTCGTTACGAGTGAAACTTTAAGTGTGAAGATCATCTTTGTTACATTCGTGGTTTTAGTCTGGTCAGATCTACGACGCATTAGTAAGGGCAGTTTTACTCTATGTTTGAGGTATCTTAACTCTCGGAGTTGAGGATGTTAGACGACTCTCTGTGTCTAATCATCGTTGTCTCCAAAGGATTGTTAACATCCAGTGGCAACATCAAATATGTAATGCAGAGGTTCGGTATTGTGTATTCGGGCACAGCAACAATAATTCAATTGATGTCACTATTTTGAAACATCGATTTCGGTGGTTTGGATATGATCTACAAATGTCGTCCTAGAGAATTCCATGTCATGCATTATTTGCTGACATTGGGACTGGTTGAAAAAAGTGGAGAGGTGGTCAGTGTATGACATATTATCGCGGTATGAAAGAAAGCTGTACAGGACTGGCTTCTAATGATGCTTCATGACTTCTTAATTGGGGTCCTAGAGATAAAGCATCTCAGTGGCTTGTGAAGTTATCAGATATGGTTTAGAATAGAAGTTAGTGACGATCTTGTTGTAACTTTTTCTTATACACACTTTACATTCTCTATCACTTCACAGCCTCATTGTTATTATATGGCCCATATGTATCTGATACCCCTTTGTACACATATTTTTATGTTCTTTCTTTCTATTATAACACTAAGAATCATTGTAAATTAGATCCGATGTTTACCAGACTTACATAATATTTAT